TTATCTCTTTGAAAAACCACTTACTACCTCATACTGATGAAGAAAAAAGTGATTTTTTTTTTAAATTATGTTTCTTAATGACTCAGAGAACAAGTTTCCATTGTATTTTCCATGTTATACACATTTACTTCCTGAGGCAGACACAAAAGCAAATTAAAAAAAAAAATAGTTAAATGCAATTTAAAAGAAATTTTCTAAATACTTGATTTTCAGAATAATCTCATAGCAGCTAAATGAGACAATTTTCACAGTTTATAATATGTTCATTATTTCTCAGAAATATAGGCTATGAAAAAATTCCACTTACCAGTTCTATTCAGCAGAACCAGTTTTCTTCCATGACAATACAGCAAAAGAATTTTTGTCACTAATGTTTCTGAAAGTAGGGCTGAAGGACAAATAAACAACAATGGGCAGCAAGTATGGAACCCTTATGTTGCCAAATAAAGTGTACCTGCACATCTGTCTGTCTCATTCATAAAACAGCAGTTGCTGAGTACCATTGCACTGTACCAGCGTAGAGTTCCTGCTGTGGGCTTGTGTTGTGATTGATAATGACTAATAAAACACTTGCTTGGCCATGGTTTGTTTTGCAGCCAGCAATCATGACATAATTATATTCTGCATAGAAAGAGAACAGGCGTATAAGGAATTTGCACTTACAGCGGAACACAAAGCAAAAACCAGACTTACTTACAAAATCTCCAGAAGGGCTATAAATCTGAATATCAAATGTGCAATTAGAAATAAAATATGAGAACTAATAAATGGGAGGAAAAAAGAAACCAATATTGTTATTTGTGCTACTACTAATATATACTGTCAAGGTATAGTAGCCATGAATGTGACATGAATATCGTAAGTGGTAGGGCTGAAGACAGTAAGGTTTTTAGTGCATCAGAGACAGAAATACCCTGTTAATACCTCATATTTAGAGCTGAACAGTTGAAGTACTTGTGTGAAATAAGAATGGGGAGTTATTTTAATTGTCTAGCTGAAAATTATGTAAAATAATTTCTAATAGGAAGCAAAATTTTTAAATAAGGCCCATACAACCTGCACAGAGAAGTCCTCACACCAAACCTACAGGACACCAAAATTTTCTATGTCAGCAAGAAAGTATTAAAATTTAATTATAAAATTATTAAAATTATTAAAATTAAAATTTGAGTTTAAAAGTATCTTTTGTCAGGTGAACTAATCAGTACAGCAAACTGATAAGGGAAATGATGTTTGCCTCCTCATATATTCAAATAAGTAGTGTATACCATTCTATATGTGACTATAAATTGACTTTGTGAAGGTAATTATGTTAATAGGCTCAATGAAATTCAGTTATTTGTGATATTCGGGAAACAAGATTAGAGAAACATTCTGACCTCCAACTACAAGCCTGGGAAATTTCTGAATCTCTGTAAAGTACAGGAATTTGGAGCATTTTGTCTGGAATTGTGAGAACAGTTGCAGTCTCACAACCTGATTTTAACTTTCTGAAGAATAGCTAGAGCTTTTCCCATGGTTGGTTGCCATGTCTGTATTTGTGTGTCTCAAACCCTTAAATTCTTTGAGAAAGGTGATTTTTTAATGCAACTTCATGTAGTTACAGTAAGAGGAAGTTAGCAAATTATGACAGAAATTAATAGAAATTTGAATTTGTGCTATTTCCCCGCCTAAATTGCCTCAAGATCCAGCTGTGTTTAAATGTAAGCTCAAACTTTAAAGCAATAAACATTTTTCTTTTTTTTTAAGTATCAGTTACACTTTCTCTTCTTTTTTTTTTTTCCCTTCCCACTTAAGCATCTGCCATATTTACACAAATGTATATCTATACCGATAAGCCCAATAGGTGCACAATGAATGATGAGTGCTTGGGCTGGAAAAGAAAATTGAATGAGTGCAAACAACATTTAATCCATTTCTTCCCTCAGTATGAAAGATACAGACCACTGTGGAATAGCAAACCACAATGAAAAGCCCTTTCACTCCCACAAGCAGGCATATAATGCTGTGAGTCAGAAGCAGTAGTGCATACATACTTCATACACAACCAGTTTTGTAACTTAATATTGCAGAAAAGGATTGCAAACTTTTGGTTACCTTCATTTATCCAAGATAGAGCGGTACTGAAATCCCCCACCTACATAGACATTATCACTTACTGATCTCCTGAACTGCAATTTCATTGCAGGAAAATTGAGATGTGTTGGAATTTGCTAAATTCATCCAGATTTTGAAGTTGTTATTTTCTTTTCCCTATTGAGTGTAAGTGTTCAGGAGTAAAACATAGACTTGTAAAGAAGATCTAGAGAGAGTATTTCAAGTGATTTATTTGATCTCAATAAAAATTTGTCCTCCCTTGTGGATGAAAGAGTCATTCCATGTAGCAAACCATTTAGTAGGGATTCCCTACAGAAAGCGAGGTATATCAAGCATTATATGAACCTTAATTGTGGTTATATTTTATTGCTACTTAGATTATTAAGTGTTTAAACTACCAGCTAGCAGAATCTATATTCTCCATAGTGGAAGTGTGCTAACAATAATTTTATTAAATATTTCAGCCCTGTTCCAACAATCTCTTGGAAGAAAGTTAATGGTCATAATCCAAGTAAAGCCCGCCTGAGAAAATCCCAAGCTGTGCTTGAAATACCTAATGTGCAGCTAGAGGATGCGGGAATGTATGAATGTAAGGCTGAAAACTCTCGTGGAAGAAATGTCTTCAGAGGACAGCTACAAGTGTACAGTAAGTGTAACTGCACAAAGTACTTTGCAGTAATGCTTTGTCCACGTTTAAGGCTTTAACTACGTATGAAGGATGCTAAGGTCCAGCAGAAACAAAATATCATTCTTCTAAACTAAAATTATTATTGTATTAAGATATATATTTTTATTTCTTAGTAATGCATTAAGGTGAGATATAAACAAAGTTGATTCTCTCAAAGAACTGTCTTAAATACAATTTCATACTTGATGTTTATGGGGTTTTATAGGATTTTTTTAAAAAGAGTATCACTATAATTTTAAAAGTCCATTTTTTTCCTCCTGTTATGATATATAACAGTGACATGCAACCTGAACATGATTTATCTTGGAGCTTGGAGAACTGCTTCTGATTTTGTAGAAAATTCTCAATCTAGGCATGCGCAGTATCTGAAGGTTCTGTTTTTCAGAAAGTGCTGAACATTTTCTCTCTAAGATTGGTCTTTCTAAAAGTTTTGTGAGTAGGCATAAAAAAATGCATCAGATTGAATACTTACAACCCAGTTTCCCTCATTGAATGTGTGGTTGAGACCCACATACTTCTTATCAATTAAAGCTGCTCCAATTGCTATCATTCCGTGAATCCTACTAGCTTAAATACTTAAGAAGAAAGGTCTACTGCAGGAGGTCATGCAGTGAATCTTTCAGACTGAATTGTTTTCTGGCCTTAAATATCACAGTTAGTGGAATTCCAACTGCTGCAGTTCAGACATGACCTCAGGCTAATAGATACCTTTAAGAAGGAGTCTCTCCTGTTAATCAATTTTATTTTTCTTTTCTTGATCCCAGTCCAATGCTCCTAGTGCTTTCTCCCCATTACTAACTGTACACAGTTCTCTTTGTTACACATTTTCATCAAATAACCGTAGGCTGGCATCATATATTTGGTTTATTTTCCACATATGTCAATATTTCCAGGTCCATAATCAATTTTCCTGTCTCCTCCAGCTTTCCAGTGCCTTTATCTTAGTCCCTTGGTTTTAGTGAGTATCAGCATATCTCTGAATGGTGATTCTCTCCTTGCTTTTGGTTCTCATCCATCTAAAGCCAAAGGCAGGTTTTTTTGTCTTCAATTTTTTTTGCATAAGGTGGGAAAAATATTTGATGACAAAGATGGTAGTTTGCACCTTTCATTTTGGACATGCCATCTATACTGCACTGGCAGCAAAGTTTTTATAAGGTTTTTGCTGAAAACAGCAGTCAAAGCCCAAGAACTATTTGATGCTTCCTCCTATGCCAGTATCCCAGTGATACTTGTTTGGTATTACAAATTCCTATCATCAATTACTTCCCTGGAAGTAGAGTAGGTCCTTCTAGGGACCTGGGGCTGGGGAATCTAGCTGCATACATGGTCTTTTTCAACAACATTTCTTAAAATGTCTAAATTAAAAAATAATAATGTTTTATTAGGTGTATCCCAGCTCACACACTTACCAGCTGTTTTCTAGTGCTATCTTTGCCTCCCTCTTTCAGAGTTAAAGGAATATAAAAGGTGCTGTTCAAGACAGAAACTAAGATGCTAAAAAATGAATTTATTTTCTCAAGACCACCCTGCAGACCTGTGGCATAATATCACAGCAACATTATGTAGAGTTCTAAACAACTCTGCCTCCCTCATTAGCCTGGACACATTTTTGTTCTGAGAAGAAATAAAGGTGATACACAAACTAGGAGTCCATAGAAAACATTTTCAACATAAAAACCCATTTTGTTCTACTCTGTCCAAGTGTAAATACATATTTTTACTTCTCCACCATTGTCAAAATTATATTTTTTGCTGTCACTGCCGTTATGAATAGTGTGAAACTTGTGCTAGTTGGCATTTTCTGCAAAAATATTAGAACTTCTTTAACAATATAGAAAGGGGGTCCACTTCAGATTGTCTCATTCCTCTGATTAACAGATATGTGAGACTAATATGTTATTAAGTTTCTCTTAAGTCTATTATTATAATTTAGACTGTCTTAGAGATAAGCCAAAACCAGATCTGAGTCAGAGTTTCACCTATATGCATTAACAGGGAGTAAGGTCAGAGCAGGCATCAGAGGGCTTTCAGATGGAAGAGACCAGCAGTGACCTCCAGTACAGCAGAAACACAAACTGTTACTAACCCCTTAAAAGTGCCTTTTCTTGGCCTTGAGATTAAATACTCCCCAGTGAGCCTCTTGCAGCCTTCAGCGCTCCTGAAGAGAGCATTAGTGTCTCACTGGCCTACTTATCTCGGCAACGCTTTCCAGGGATGTAAGAGAGTTTGGGTAGGAAGGTTTTTAGCAGCACAAAGTTTAGCCATATGTTACTTTCAAAGATTCTCATTTTCCTTTGCTGACAGCTGATATGGCAAGATTCAGGGGCATTACCTGAAACAGCATTTCCTGCCCTACCTCTTGTTCGTAACAACAGTCAACATGAATTATTTACCTTTAAGCTCATTTTCTTTTCACTGACATCCTATTCCTCCAGGACACAACGATTATTTTGACTCCAAAATTCAGATGTAGGCCATCATTTCTTTCCAGGGGATTCTTGTAAAATTTCAGAGCAGGCTGGAGGACCAGCTGTGTCATACTGCAGTCCCACTATCTGCATATCTGTAGGAACTCATTCACTGTCTGTTTTGAATCTTCTTCATTTCATCTGCTGCATCTGATCTGAGTCACCACAGAGGATTTTGGAGACAGCCCAAGACACCCAGTCTGGCTGTCTGATCACATTTAATAACAAACCAGTGTTTTTTTTTCATTTCTTACCTGCTGCTGCAATCCAGATATACCATGGCTGCCTGATGCAGCTGACACTATGGATGTTCAGAAAGTGGTATTTCGGATGCTGACAATTTCAGATAGTTGTAGTCTCAGCATTTTATGGCAATTCAACTGTAGAAATGACAGTCATTAAAAACATAATATTGACAATGCAAGACATCCTCATATGCATTGCAACCTATTTTGTGAGGTGTGATTTTTCCCCAGGTGAAGTGTTCATCTTGTAAGTTTTGATTAAATTTTCTTCAAGCTCAAATTGATTAATAAAAGAGAGAACAACAATTAAAACTTGGGTGGAGAAATTAGCCGTTAACGTTTTGTAATTACAGTTGCACCACAAATCCTGGCTAGTAGCCTTTTCCCAATGGTAGGAGCTGTTCTGTGCAATTCCTGCCCCTCTCTCAGTCTTAACCTTTTGGGTTTTTTTCTGTGCTACCTACTCACTAGTGCCAACTGAGCAGCCAGTGGGGATATGAAGCAGACCAGAAAAACACTTTTTTGGCTTTTTTCTTTTTGGCTGTATCAGTTCCCTGATCCTGCTCACAGTAGTGCCCCATGAGCTGAACTGCTGCTACAGCAGGAGGGAAGGTTTGCCATAACAGAGAGTGGAACAAGCTGAGGGCAGGAGCATTCTGTGATGCAGTGCAATGGACCATTCTGATTTAAAAAAAATAAAAATAAAAAAAAATCACTTCCTTATGAAATCCGTATGGAATAAAATCCACTGGTGCCACTACAGGTTACCCCCTGGCTTGAGAGGAAGAGATTTCTGTAGTCAGAATTGCACCTTTAGGTTAAATTTGCTATCTTATCTTTCTCACTGTAATAATTTCCTATTCTTCTCCTCCTATATAGTTCCCAATTAGCTTTGTGTCCAGAAAACTTCTCTTTTTTTCACCCCAAGCTCTGTACTCACTCACATTTTAGGACGCTGTCTGAATTCATTTCTCTTTGAAAATTTTGTCCTCAATTTTCTCTCAGTCAAAATGTTGATGAATAATTTGAGACAGGAGGCTGAGTTTTCTGCATCTGAATTTCATTTTGCACAGAGGGTGTAAAAACTGGCCTGTAAGCTTGCAGATTTATTGCCAATTTATGTTTGTAAAACATTTTGACATCCTTGAATAAACAGGTGCAGAAATGCAGCATAAAATAAATCAAGGATTGGACAGTGATTTTAAAATCTCAGGAGTGCTGTGTAAAGCTGTGGCACGATATCCATAAAGATTACTGAATAAAGAAACGCATGCTTCTATTCTTACGTTCACCCAAAACTCTTTGCTGGACAGATAAAACCCAGGCAAACACGCATTTTTTTTCCCCAAAGTAAATGTTGAATTTATAAAAAGGAAAAAAGAAACATGTGACATTTGAAATCTGTTTAAATGCTTCTTAGAATTGATATGTTCTAATTAAAATTAAGTGCAGTCATGGAATGAAGTTTTCTTTGCCTGCATGTATATCAGTTAGAATTTTTGCACCAAGTTTCACTTTTTTAAGCATTACGATGTTATGAAAAGTGACCATATGAGCAGAGACGGAGCCCTTTGTGGCAAAAGAGCACATAGAGGGGGAAAAGGAAACCCAATAGCTATGAAAATATTTATCTCAGTCATGCATTTAACTCTATCCCTGCTACATCTACCTATTGCTTTGCTACCTTTTTCTCAAAGGTGTGGGAATCTGTGAATCCAAAGGCCATTTAGGTTGTACGAGAAAATACAGGGTAGAAATACCCCAACTAATGAAAAAGGTTGCTAATACCAATCTGTCATAGCACTGTTATTTGCAAGTATGTGGTTACAGAGGAAAACCTGTGCTATGACTATGCTATCAAGACAGAGGGTAGGGAATGACAGTTGTGTAGTAAGGAGAACAGTTCTGCAGCCAGGCTGGGAAAAAACAGTTTTATTTAAGAGAAAGCAGTTGCTGACTTGTTCTGAATGCTCTGGTTCATGATGAGATCAAATTCAACATGTAAAATGAAACTAGATATGCTCTGGGTCATTTGGTAGAATTATCAGAAAATCAAAATAATAAAAAGAATGAAATATACATTGGAACTATTTAGCACCTCTTTGAAACTTCATGATTTTGTGGCACCGCTGGATAACTTCTATGGTTTTTTAGTTACTCATTGAACTGTCACATCTTCCAGAATCTTATTAGCGTATTCATTTTCAAAGGAAACAATTACTTCTTAGCATGCTCCTTTTGTGCATACCAAAAACATCAAAAATAAAACAATAGCATCAAATATGCAATAGGGTTATATTTTTAGGACAATTAGTAGACAAAAAGTGAGCAGGGACTGCTGCAAGCTGCTTCTGAGGATTTCATGGGACCCTTTGATATAATTTAATAATCAAGTAACTCAGTGCAGTGGAGCACATATGGAGCATGTCATGCATTGCCTTGACTGTAATAAGAATAATATGGGAGCAGATGGTTTTGGTCTTGGGTTTGGGAGTGAGATTCAGTCACTCTTATCTCTGTTTTCCTCTATTAAAAGGGATATGAGTGATTCTTCTACTGTTTCCAGCTTCTGACAACTGTCTCATCAGGGACTCTGAAGCAGACGATTCTCTGCTTAGGAATAATAGACACCTCCTTCACTTTCTTTATCATGCATGCACAAAATGTAAGCTAGAAGCAGTTAGTCACCTGTCATGCCTTTTCATATCTTCTCACGTCTTTGATTGGTGACCTGTCAAAAGCCAGCTAGATTCAAAGATTTATTTTTACACTCATTTCTCCATGTTTAAGTACATTATCAATTATCTGATGTTTGAAGCAGAGATTTCGTTGTGACAGATCTGGACTTCTATTCATACCAAGCAGAATTTTACATTCTTTTAGCAATGAAGACCTTTTAGCTATTTATTCTTTGCTAACTAAAAAAACCCACAGCTCAACACTTAATATCATTAATCAATTTCATTTATCATTGTCTTTGCTGTAAAAATCAATATGGCTACAGTGTGAAAAAACAAAAGATGGCTTTTAAACATACAGTTTTATTCCTGCATATGAATGCTCAGTTCCTCAACGAGTCATACAAAGTGTTCCAACCTTATAAGATTCTACATATAGCTGTCTGATCAGCTGCTGCATTAAAGATCTGTTTTTTAATAGATTATTACATGAAATTTAGATGATACTAATGATCACATACATACCTGCCAACTGTTTACCTTTAAAAAAGACTAGTTGTTTTATTGTGTAGTACATGTTTCTGATGAATGCTAAAAATCTCATGGGTTCTGTGCTTTAAAACATTGCAAGCATTTTCAAATGGATTTCAACTCAAGACACTTTAACAAAACTATGTGCAAATACCTTACCACATGCCCAGTTATTCCTAGCTGAATAAATCGTGATTTCCTAGTAAACTGAGAAAACTGCATGAAACAAAGTCTGTGATGACTGGCCTACTTTCCAAAATTTAAATAGCTTAGGTCTTGAAAAGTTACTAAATACGCTATTGTGACTACCAAGCAAATGCTCTGAAATGCAGTAATAATTAATGCATGAATAGATAGTACTGTAATTTAATCCACTGAACTTTATGAAATGAAAAATATTTTTATTCCTTGACATGATACTGCTCACTTCCTTGTGCCATTACAGCATTTCCTGTAAAGTTATGGAATTTTGTTAATTTTATAACTTTTGGTTTTGGCTGTTTATTTAAATGTGCTTCATTCTCAGAGTAAACAAAACTTTATAAAGGCCGTAATTTAAGCTTTTTAATTGATTAGGTTTTTGCACATCAGCTAGAGACTTACAGTTTATACCCTTTGTATATAGTATGGTATTTTTTCTTGCAGCCTACCCACATTGGGTGGAGAAACTTAATGATACTCAATTAGACAGTGGAGATCAGCTTCGATGGGAATGTAAAGCCACTGGAAAGCCAAGGCCCACATATCAGTGGCTGAAAAATGGAGTTCCTCTCTGGCCACAGGTACATTAGACAAGGAGTCACCAGTATGTTGCATGTTTCTCTTTTATTCAGATAAAGCCTGTTAAAGAAAGTAACGAAAAGCACTTTAGAAATTACTGTTTTCTGTGTTTGTTAGTTTCTTAAGTGTTAGTATAGAGACAACGTTTCTATGGATGTCCCCTCTGAACCATCTCAAGCGATGTAAAATTGCATTCATCAGTAATTTTCTGTAGTTCAGGAATCTTTGGGAGGTGGAACCTTCTGGGTTGTGTCTGAAGCAGAATCTGCCATTGTACTGTAATACACATCTAAGCAATCTCCTGTATGTTTGTTTCTTCCTTTCTTTCCTTTAGGTAATGCTATTATACTATTTTCTTTTTTAGAAAATGTTACTGTGCCCTTTTTTTTATTTTTAATAAATAGATAGTAGCAACTCAAAAAAGTGCTTTATTTGCTGAATCACATTCCTTCATATTTCCCCAATGTAGGTTATGTTATGTTATGCTGTTATGTCATGTCATGTCATGTTATTATGAGATTTACCACATTTTGCTTGTGCATGATCCTACTTCTCAAAACACTTCAAGCTAATATAAAAGGTACAATGACTTTTTTATTTTCATCTGTTTCCAACTCCATGAATTCCCTATAACAGGACTCGTCATCAAGACCATTCAAATGCTCCATATAAAAATCCTAGAATGCGAAGTCTTTAACTACAGTCAACTACTAATGTATTTTAGAATTAGGTCTAAATAAAATTCTCATTTCTTTCTAAAAGAACACACATGGCAATGCTGTCTTTTATTTCATTTTGTTCATTTTTCTCTTACTGAATTGTCAACAGGTCAGCCCACATCATGTGGGTTTTTGCCTAACACCTTTACATTTTTATAGTGTCAAATTATTTACAGTAGATAAAAGTTTTGTAGATTTATTTATTTTTCCAGATTAAAATAAAGCTGTTCAATTCTGGGAGACAATGTCTTCATTTGGAAATGAATTCACAGAAAGGATTTATGAATATAAAAGATGTAATGATTTCCTTTTCAGTGAATGCCACTTCCATTTGTGAAAATCAACTGATTATGCAGACAATGAGAAAGGAAACAATCACAGCTTACTTTTCAAGTTGTGAGGCACTGAAAATAAGGTTATATGCCTT